ATCCTTTAGGTTTCACACCTCAAATCCTCTCTCACTTAGAGATTATGATAAGCTCTTCTTTAAGCTATAGTTAGGAAATTATTTTATTGCAGTATTTTTGCCGGGGGAATCAGTGCTTCTTCCATTTTCTTGAGTCGATGGTCTATCAAAAACAGTTTTTCTACCCCTCCTAGGATAGGGCCGTAGGGGTAAGGCTGAATACATCCTACTATCCTCAAACCCCACCTGTGAAATTTTCACTATGTTGTTGTTGTAGTAGTAGTACTTTTGCCGGGGGGGAAACAAGGGATACAACAGTCACAAATTTACATTAAATAAACTTACTGAGGAATAGGAATTAGGAAATAGATGAAGCTCTGATCCCTATGTTCAACAGATGAACTGACAGAACTTAGCTAATTGTCATAGTATTTCCCTATAAGAAATGTACTCCTAAGAACTAACAACGTACAAGGGATCAATTTTTACGCTTAAATGACTTATTTCAGGTTCTAATTTAATGATGCACTAAATTAAAACTAATAAAATTATACTCCTTCCTAGAATATCTGATTATTTTCTGGCATTCCACTTTTAAAAAAGAGAGAGTTGCCTTCTTTGAAATTCGAACATCTTGATTTGAAAGATCAATAACCATAAGATTAAAGAATTTCATTGGTACTTATGGATCGAATTACGCTTCCACATTTAGTTTATTTTGATATATTTACGTGACATGATATATCTTTGAGAAAGATAAAGGCTTTGATACTAAGTTACCCTTCTGTCTAAAAAGATTGACATTATTTCTTATTAGTCTGTTTCAAAAAGATTGGTACATTTCAATATTTTCTGTATAGGAAACATATCAATCCACACAAATACTATGACGTGTTTCAAACTACAAGTTTCAAAAGTTTTACAGCCACATCAAAAGTCTTACCTTATATATTAAAGTTTGTGTCAAGTCAAACTAAGACAATCGAAGTATGTCCCAACATGCTTACCACCAATACCCCATGCTGCAATAAAACTGGCTGCCTGTTCTGCCCACCACCACCTACGCGCCCTTCCGGAATTCTTTGCACACTTAATATATAGCCATCATCAGTAGTAACCTGAAAAATCCCAAATTGAAGAAACAAATTTAAAATCCATTGTTTAATCTGGTGGACAATGCCATTATGATGTGGCCATTGAAAACAGAGTAGATCAGAGACTGATATCAATTGGCAATTAATTACCTCATATTCCTGGCATTTATAACCATGAATAATCACAAAAGTGGCGCACATACCACTTGGTACTGCAGCATTCACGCCATTATCACCAGTAAGAAAGCCAAAAGGACCTCTCGTGCTGGACCCAAATGTTCGATGAGACTCAAACACTAATATTATCAATGTCACAAAACCTAAAACACCTAAATTCCACAATCTACGGAGCGCCATTTTACTATAAGTGTGTGAAATTGGGATGCTTTGAAAGTAAGAAGAATAATTTATAGACGGAAAGAAACAGAGCAATTAGCAATGCGCCAAAAACTGGGAATTGGTACGTGGGAAAACGATTTCTTCTTTGTTCGCTCGATTCGTCAACTGACTAACTGGACAATCTTGTTTCTGATTTCTTGATTTTCGAAAAGGTGTGGAGAATTTGTCACTTAGCTTTTCTCCCGCTAGTTCTATTACCAGTTTCTAGTGGGAACTGAGAATTTGGAGGGGATGGATGTTGGAGCCCACCAAATTTTGGATTTTTTATGGGTTGCTTATCTCCTTTTTTGATCAACGTAACTGATCAGTATTAACATGCAGGCTAAGTAATGTAGAACGTCAGTCAGGAATGGGGTGCTTTCTTGATGTTGAAACTCAACGAATTACTGTTAACAATTTTGAATCGAACTACTTTCACTAGTGTAATTTACTCAATTTATGTAGAGATTAATTGGGTTTACAGTTGGCGGAATTTGAATATGGGGCCTGTGTTGTTACACATGTTAGTTTTCCACTTGGCTCCTTGTATAACGCCATATATATAGGACTACACAATGGGCAGATTATATTTATTTGTTGATGTTTAGATATGTGCGCAAATCCAGCTAAATCTCAAGGCTGATATACTTATTGCAACTTGTAAGGTTTTCTACTTGTTTAAAATATGCACGTATGTTGGGTGTGCGAATAAAGTCCCACACTAAAAAGATTGGGAGTCTACATATAAGGTGAAGGGATCTCTTAATGATGTGAGACCTTTTAAGGAAAATCATGCGGGTTTGGCCACAAGCGGACAATATCACACCATGTTAAGAGTATTTTTGGCTAGTTTAGTCCAACAACTGGTATCAGAGCCCAGGTTCAACAGGACGAGTATGAAGATGGCAGAGTGATAGTGTGGGGCGACATGCACACAACAAGAAGCTGGTTGCGGGCTTCGGTTGTCATAATTGGGAGTCTACATATAAGGTGTAGGGATCTTTTAATGGCGTGAGACTTTTTGGGAGCGAACAATATCACGTCATGTTAAGAGTGTAATTGGACTAGTTTAGTCCAACAACAGGTATCAGAGCCCAAGTTCAGCAGAACGAGTATGAATATGTCATCTCATTTTGTAATAACCGTTAAACGTGATTTTGTGATCTTATAGCTTTGACTAGTTCTACGTAGTTAGTCCTTGAACTGATCCATCTTTTATCTATAATGATAGTAGATTAAATATCTTCTGATTCTTCTCGCTAATTACACACAAATACCAGGCATGGCATTTTCTATTTGTTAACATTCTCTTCCAATCATCTAAGGTCATCAACTAATTCGGCATTTTTTCAGTTGAAATTGGATTATGCTAGCCAAACGACTCGCACGTGTTTCTGTAAATTACTAGAAAAGGGCATTTTTTCAGTTGAAATTGGATTATGCTAGCCCGGTGCACTAAGCTCCAGCTATATACGGGGTCCGAAGAAGGACCGGACCACAAGGGTCTATTGTACGTAGTCTTACTTTGCATTTATGTAAATTACTAGAAGACTAACAAAAAATGGTTTAAGACAGGACATTTTTGTTATGTTATCTGCATGACTTTTTTTTTTTTTCTTTTTTCAGTTGGAGCTTTGCACAATAACTTAGCATCAATTGCCTATTATTATACAAATAAACGACTAATTAAATGTATTTACCCGGTCTAGCTATTCCATAGATCATAGATTGCTTATTGATGATCGGCACTCTTTTGATCCTTTTTTCTTTATTTTTTCTCCCTTTGTTATATAATTACAAAAATAACTGATAGAGTATTTTTTTTCACCTTCTTTGTTTCATATTTTTATTTTTCTCCATATCAATTATCAAAAAAATAATCTATATAGTATATCTTATTTCTTTTTTTCTTTCATTTTTTTCTTTTTATTTAAAATATATGTATTACTGTAGATATTTCTAGCACATAGGATCCAAAATTATATATCACTATAATAAAATGATACATTAGTATAATAAAATGACATATTAGTATTTAATGTTATTATAAAATACTTGTCACAATATATACCAAAACTGTATATAAATATACCAAATAGGTATATTACTATTTTATGTCTTCCGACACCTTCTTCTTATATAATGAATATTATTTTCATGGAATTCCAAAAAAATTCATTTAAGAAAATATTTGCAAGGACCCAGTTGGAAAAATTTTTAAAATTAAAAATGACTTATTTATTACCGGTATAATGTTATATTATATTGTATACTATAACAATATAATGTTACTACAATCATGACTTAGCTTTGCACAATATTACCTAGATGATTCAATAAATAGCAGTCGAAGTATACTACTATTAGTATATTAATATTATACACTATTACATCATATTGTTGCAATATATTGCATATTATTATAGTATACTATTATAGTATATTGTATACTATAACAGTATATTGTTGCAATATAGCTATATATTCCTATAATATATTATATACCGTAGCGCTATATTGTTGGGTAACTGTGTTCTTCGATTTTAAGCAGAAAAATTTGATCTCAATCACCTCAAATCAGCTCTAGATGCGATCAAATTTCAGTATGAACTTCCAGAAGGTACTATAAGCAATATTTAATAACACTTACTTTGGATCAAACAAGAAAACTTCAAAATAAAAACTATATTTTAAATTCAAGAGCTTCAAGCCCAACAATGGTGGATATTCAAATACATACAAAAATTCAGATATGTAAAGCTTACTCGATGGTACTATAAACAATATTTCATAGCACCCACTTCGAATCAAACAATAAATGTTCAAAATAAAATTTTAAATTTACGAGCTTCAAGCTCAACAATGGTAGGTCTTCATACAGACACAAAAATTAGATCTGGGAAGCTTAATATACTAAGTAATCGTATGTGCTACTTAAAATAAAGAAAGACCAAATTATTTATTTATCAAATTGTAATAGCTACTAAGTAAGCTTGCAAAAATGAAGTTGGATGTTTTAATACCACTGCTTGCTGAACTTTTTTATTAGATGGAACAAAAAATATAATAACAAGAAAGAAAAAGGAAACGGAGTTAGGATTATGTTGCAATCGGCAAATGTCCGTCCATACGTCAAAGCAATCGTACCAGGAGCCATAATACATGGAATCCGTTATATATTCCAACATAATATACTGGAGTTCAAATTTTTTACATGTGAACTTCCAGCATAATATACTGATCCAGTATAATGTTAAAAGTTCATACACAAGTGCCCCATTCTCTAGTATATTATGCTGAAAGTTCATACATAGGTCACCAATTTCCAGTATATTATACGGGAACTTTCTGTGTTGCAGCACAATAGTAACTATTTTTCAATGACTTTGCAAATGCTGGCTATTTGTCAATTATCAGTCCGAAAACTGGCTAGCCCGTGCTATTTTTAAGTAAGGCGATTAGGTAAGAAATTCTTTCGGGCATGTTTTCATGAACCATGGACCACTCCACCCCCACCCACAAAACACACAAAAGAGGAGAAACATGGCATAGTTTAAATAGGTAGTTTCAAATGGAATGGTACATTTCAACAGGTCACGTCCCACCTCCAGTCCCATGGCAGCAAGAATTGCCTTCTCCAGTAGCAGCAAATGAGAAATGTCAATCAGAGAACAGAGGACTGGAAAACATATATGTATAAGGACAATGCCCAGGTTAATTAATTAACAAAGCTGTTCTCTATAGCTTTATACAGTACTTACATATAGTAGCAATATATGTTTGTGTCAATGCACACCTGATCTCATGGACTTCAAGTTTGGTTGATCACTGATGGTCAAATTGCACATCTCAAAAGTCAAAATGTTCAGAATTCCTGATGCACATGCACATACATACATAGAGAACTTATGAGAGCCAGATTGTAGTTATTAGCTGACGCTATGTGCAGGGGGACTCATACTCTTCCTCCTTTCCCTAAAGCTGCCACTTCGCAACCTGGGAAGACAACATTGTGCTGACCTCGGTGAGTTGGCCTCAGTTTTTAGCTCTCCATTGGGGGTTCTCTTGCCACTAGACACTGGGGCATAAGGTGTGCTAGATGTGGATTTGGGTGGTAGCTGTAGATCAGCAGCGAGTCCATTTTGGTTGCCTTCAGCGTATTGTTCATTGGGATTCCGGTTTCTTGAGCTTTCTTTGAAAAGCTCAAGTAGATTCTTCCTCTTATGTTTTGGAGAAGATTGCGGTAAAGAAGCAGGAGGTCTTTCTACAAAAGGGGTTCTATTACCAGCCAAAACACCTCGATGCACAGGCGTATTTCCACGTGAAGGAGTGTTTCCAAGTGATGGTGTAAAATCTGCATTTAAGTCAAGAGAAAGACGACAAGATCAGAAAATGATGACAAGCGCAGATAGGAAGTGGCTGCCACGCAACAAGAACAATCTCTTTGGTGCTGAGATTCCAATTCGTACTGAGAAGCATGTTGCTATCTTAACAATAACTATTTACTTGGTGTTGCACTTTCCTTATAACAAAAACTCATGTACTTTCAGTCATTACTAGCTATTTAACTTCAACGCAATGCATAATGGGGCTTTTTCTAGTTTACGAATTTAAAAACACAGAGAAAAAAAATGGAAGCAGAAAATGGAAAATCATCAGGTATTGAAGGTTCATCTTACCTCCCTTCACACTAAAGAAATCGTCGTCGCAATCTGACTCCAACCAAGCTTGGGAATCAAAGAAAGCCTCCTCCTTGCTACCTAAAACGAAGGAATGCCGGCTATCAGATGAGATAAAATATATCAAGAGGTTACAAATTATAGTGAAAACGCACAATAACATGATCGTTATATATCTATAAACACCCCTCGCATATAGATATTTTAAAAGCTTAGCTAGAAGCGCTCTGTTTCAGGTAATCAGTTCGAGGATACTAGAGAAACAAAAGAAGAAAATTGAAAGAAAGTGCAGACGATGTCCTTTCATCATTCAATATTCCACCACGATCCCAAAACATCACATTCAAAACAAATCCATCCATTTCAAACAAATAAGAAACCAGAATTAGCTAGGAACTTCTGTTAGCAAACTAGTAGGCATTACATCTTCACTGAAAAATTGCACAAAAATTTGATAGACAAAATCAAAACTTGTTTATAGTAGAGAGTGTTCGTATCAGACAAGTATTCAAAAACACAAGGCGATGCATTGGGATGCTTGAAAATAGTCAACGTAGGACCCCAACTAAGATAATAAACTCGCATGACTAGAAGGGAATTACATGTAAGGCCACTGGCAATATGCAACTAATATTTAGAGGACTATCCTTCAGCTACTAAACAAGAAAAAGTCTCTGAAATAAACACAATTTGACATGTTAATCTCAACAGTGAGGTTAGCACAATGATGAAATCAGACGTGCAACTCATTGTTCCTGTACCTGTTTTTTTAAATTGACGACAACCCCATCTTCATCAAGTATAAAGAATACTCTGCAATTGAATTATTCATATTAAGTTACAGGATGTTTTTGTTTTCCTTAAATTAGTTAGGTGAGGTTTTTAAGTTGTTCTACGAGAGGTTGTCTCCAGCAAAATAAAAAATAGTAGCAGTGTCATGACTACATGTGCTGCAGATGGCCCCATCAATAAAAGAATTTTGGTATTGCACAAAATTTTAACAATAACTCGTTAGTCAATCTTTCCTAATTGCAAAAAAAAAAAAAAATGGACAGCTAATAACAAAAGAAAAAGGGAAAAACATACATAACTTATTAAAATTGTAATTTTAAAGCCACAAACTTTAACTGCTTTTTTATGAAAACAGTAAAATCTCGGTTTCATTAGCGACTAATTTGAAACATAATCATGAGCATCATGTCAATTAGATCGGTGTTATCAACGGTGAAAAGCTCAAAAAAGCTCTAAGGTCGGGGCTTTAACAACAACCCACAAATAAAGCGTGGGCATTAATGAAAAAACGCGCAACTGAAGTAAATGTAAAAATATGTATATATAGTCCAAGACCAATAATTATAAGCATGAATAAATGAAAAATATAATGATAAAATGAAATAACAATTGTTTAGTGTCGCCTTGTCAAAATTACACGCATTGGCAAGGAAATATATGCTTTAGAGCCTTGATGTGCTTTAGAGCCTTGATGTGACAATGAAGCGTCCGCAAAACGAGGCAAAGAGCTCAACATGTTTTGAGCCTCACTTCAGGGCTTACGCGCAAGGCTGAATCAGATTAAATAGAACACCTCTATAATTTTCTCAAACACAGAAAAACCAGCCTAACAATTATATAACAAACTTAAGAAACTAGCATAACACCAGACTTACTGAAAACTTAAAACTTGAACAAATTGTTGAGCTTAACAGGAAAAGAAGCAGTATCCCCACTTTTTTTTTTCCCACAGAAAACCCACAAAAAGAGGTTAACAGAAAGTGAATCAACGTCAAAAAACAGAACATGCTTAAAATAGAAGACCGCGCATACACCACCAAAAAAAGCCCAAAAATAATTGCAACAAAAAACGAAAGGTTAAAGCAAGAAGATCGTACCATAGTCGCTAAAACTGGTTACTGCCACAACTGGCGAACGTTGAGGTTTGAGTTGAGGATCAGGGAGTTTGATATCACCATTCTCAAGGGGTTTATCTTTGAGCGGCGATGGACTAACAAGCTTATCATTTTTAGAGGCAAAAACAAGACGGAGCTTCATCGCTGATTTTGGATCTTTATGCACTGAAGCACACGAACCCATTTTGCTAACACCAAACACCCTTTAATTCATCACCGAATACTTTTCCTGAGAAGGAAAAAAAAATACAGAGAGTGAAGTAAAAGTGAGAGAATTAGAAGGGACAAATGGGGGAGAGAAGAGCAAAGGGCGTGGTGTGGTGTGGTGTGGTGCCTTAGCGTTACGCTTTGACAATTGTTGAAAGAGCAAAATATCATATGCCAATTGTGGGGGCTTTGATTATCAAGTTCTCGTAATTTGTAATAGGAGGACTCATAAGTGTGGGTCCTACTCAAAAGGTTTGTATTATTGCAAATAAATAATTTAATTAGATTTGGCTTTTCTTACGAGTTCATAACGTGTTCCCAATGAATATATATACACATTTTATTTTTATTTTTTTGGAATCCCAGGAAAACCCACATTCGTTATAGCATTTGTCACGGTTTCTGTTATTCAGATGAATGCGCACTGGGTAAACCCATTATTATGTAATACTCCCTCCGTTTCAATTTATGTGAACCCATTTGACTGGGCACGGAGTTTAAGAAAAGAGAGAATACTTTTGAACTTGTGGTGTAAAATGAAGCACATATATTTTATGTGGCTATAAATCATTGCATAAAGGTAAATTATTTCCAAATAGGGAAAGAGGTCATTCTTTTTGGCACGGATTAAAAAGAAAATAAGTTCACATAAATTGAAACGGAGGGAGTAGCTTGCAAACCACACAGAAAATATAAAATGCACTAGTCAAGCTCTGTGCGACGGGTTAAATCGAGAAGTTTTTGAGGGAGGAGTATTTTTTTCATAAAGTGAAATAAAACAAAATAAAGAATGATTTGATATGAAAATAATAAAATAATTTTTATTAACCAATTACTGCCCATATTCAATAAAAATAGATGATTGTACTTATGGTAAGATATTATAATCATAATTCAATAAAAATAAATGAGTCCAAAAAGAATAATTAAAAAGATAGTGGGGAGAAATTGTTCAATTCGAGTAGGGCCTAAAGCTCCGTGTTTGAATTCTCTCTCAGTCCAATTAGTTCTGCTTTGACATGAACTGTAGTTGAAATCATTATTTGCAATAAGTAAGAAACTGTTTCTTTCTTGAATTTGAGTTTTCCTAAGAATATAAGAGCCACGGCAAACAACAGTGACTATTCAAAAGTCAAAACTATATCATTTTAAATTTATTTATTTAATTGTATAAAAAATAAAATAAAAATATTGGTTACCTTTTTATTTTTTTCATTATTAAATTTAGTTAAGTATTGATCAAGTGAGACATTTAAAAAAGATAAATATTTAACAAATACTATTATAATTAAAATTACTATTTTTTTCATAAAAGTGCATAAACTTAAAAAATAGAAACTATGTAATATTTATTGGATTAAAATTGTATTGTTACATAAATTATTCTTGTGATGACACTTTTATCTCTACCCCCAACTCATACTCTACGACCACCCTTATGGCCACGTAAAATGTTATGATTACCTCTTCGTACTTATCAATAGGCAAGAATGGCATAATTATTGAATGATTGACTCTAATTTTTAAGGCAAAATTCTATAGCCATGTGAAGAATCCATGCACCAACACCAAATTAATTTACATTCTATCAATCAATGCGCTTAAGTTATCTCTTTCCCGTTTCCATTTCTGAATAGGATAATTTACCTTTTCTAGTATTTAAATATATCGCCTTCTAATATAATATAGAATAAAAAAATTTAATTAAAAAAAACCCCGTTTAAGGTCTTAGAATTTTATGGAATTGACAAGAGGGGTTGCTCTGATGGTAAGCAACCCCCACTTCCAACCGAGAGATTGTGAGTTCGAGTCTCCCCAAGAGCAAGGTGGGAAGTTCTTGGAGGGAAGGATGCCGGGGTCTATTTGAAAACAGTCTCTCTACCCTAGGGTAGGGGTAAGGTCTGCGTACACACTACCCTCCCCAGACCCCACTAAGTGAAATTATACTGGGTTGTTGTTGTTGTTGTTTTAAGCTCACAGCTGTCGATGTTGCTGCAAGATTTCTTTGTAATATGAGTATTATTTTCAGCATCAGGCACAACATGGACATTAATATATTACGTTGTGTTAACGGCGTGGAGATTAAGAGAGAAAAAGAATTTAGAGACAACTGTTCTTGACCAGTTAATTAACAAAAAATCTGAAGGTTGATTTGGTCGTTTGAACATTCTTTTGGAGAAATTATTTGTAGTTTCTTTTAGAAAAAAAGGTGTGTGCTTAGCTGTAATAGTTTTGTAACTACTCTTTATAATGTTGGTTAGTATTCCCTCTGGTCTATTTTAAGTGATTTTTTGGTCTTTTCTTTGTGGTCCATAATATTTAATTTTTTCAAATATCTTCTTTTTTGCCAAAATTGTCTTTCGAGTAAAGAGTCTAGGAATTTTTGTTGTATTTTTTAATGAACAAATTAAGATTAATATGGTCAATTATATTTTTAATTAATGTTAAAGTATAATTTTTTTTAATATATATAAAAAGCCAAAAAATCACTTAAAATGGACGGAAAGAAGTAGTAAACAAAGTTTTCTAATTACACTTACTTCAAAATGTAGTATTGGAAAACTTAAAAGAAACACAAACGAATTTAAAGTTTACATTTTCAAATGAAAAATGTAAGGGAGACTCAATACATAACAATAGAATGGATATAATACATATCAATGAAATAATTCAATGGATACGTGCAAGTCAAAAGGATAGGTGCAAGCCAAACTACTTATTTGAAATTTCCTCGAAGTTTTCTTTCTCTTTCTTGTACTCCCTTCGTTTCAAATTAGATGACATATTTTTCTATTTAATCTGTTCCAAAATAAATGACATATTTCTAAAATTTGGAAATAATTTAATTTTAACTCTTCATTTTACCTAATTTACCCTTAATGAGAAGTTTTTATAACCGCATAAATATTATGACCCCACAAAATTTTTACCCATTAAGTTGTTAAGACCACAAATTTCAAAAGTTTTTTTTTCTTAAACTCCATGCCGAGTCAAACTATCTCATTTAAATTTGAAACGGAGGGAGTAATATTTTCTTGTCATAAATAATAAAAAAAATATGTGTTCTATTCGTGTAAAATATGCGTAAGATTTAGCCACTTAACACACACAATTCGAACGCGCAAAATCGAAAGTATCTAACTACCATATTCTCTCTCTAATTAATTTTAATTTCAATGGCGTGAACTTTTGGGGAAATTTTTAGTTTTTTACCTCAAGTTCTGGTCTATGCTAATGTTCCATCTTTTTCGTTTGAAATTTTAAATCCATCAACTGCTTTTTAATTTGCACGTTATCGTGAGGTTGCGCCTAGCCAACTAAAATGTGCTTACTGTTTTCTTTTTCAAAAGAAAACCACAAAAAAATGGTTGGTTCTTATTGATTAAAGAACAGTAAAAAGAACAAGGAAAATGATGAGGAACTGGACACATTAATGGTGGAGCAAGGAATCATAATAAGAAAATTCCAAAAAATTAAAAATGTCACACCTAGTATTTGAGTTCTTTGACGAAGGATACACAAATTATATTTTACCCTATTGTGCAATAAAATATTTTTGCGAAGGAGATTCAACTGACTGCAAGATACAAATTATAAAACTCTCTCTATATTATTTGTAAAATATTGTATATCGAAATTTAGCTATTAAAACTTCGAACAATAATCAAATCGATTTAATATTGTATATCTGCTAGAGGTATGCATTATTCCGATTAAACCGAAAAATCGAACCGAATCAAACTAAAGTTTTAATTTAGATTGGTTTTTCGGTTTGGTCGGATTGAGAAATTAAAATTTTAGGTTTCTTCGTTTGGTTTCAAATTTTAAACAATATATATAGTGAAAAATAAAAATAAAAATGAAACATTTAATATTTTATATAAAATATATATACCTAAATTATTATTTTTATTTAACATATATCGTTTCTTGAAGTTAGAATTTGAGTATTTTACTGCTCTATAGCTTTCTTACTTACTAGTCTCTCTTTGTATTAGGATACATAACGCCACATTATCCGTCTTTAGGGTAAATTTTTTATGAGTGATCTGAGGAAAAATTTTGAAAAACAACTTTTTGGAGTTTTTAAATTTATTTTGAAAAATTTTTAAATTCATTTTCAAGTGAAAATTAAAAAATTTATGGCCAAATATTTATTTCGAAAAAAGTAAAAAAAATTATGGCCAAACAGGCTCTTAGTTATCAACTATTCTAAAAAAAATCATTTTACTTGTCACTTTTCGCATATCAAGATAAACTAATTTTTTTTTTTCTGTTTTGTCCTTAGCATTAATTACTCATTCCAAATTATTTTCTAAATTTATTAAGATTATACACCAATTAATATGGGTATCATGATAAATTATACACTTTATTTATTATTTCTTAATTAAAGGGTGTGTAAACTCAATAGTGGACAAATATAAGTAAACGGAGTGAGTAATATGCACCCCTACTATCCAAGTTATAGCATGTAATCCCTGCTCGTGCCATTTTTATTTTTATTTCTCATGTTATGGCGAACTAATTTTTCAAATTTCGAATAGCATAACGAAAGAAATTAGTCTTTTTTGTTAAAGATACGAAAAGAGAAAGGGATTGAGATACCAGCTTTATTTTCCTTTCCTAGGAAGAGCCATCATTTACGATTCATGAGGACAATAAATTATGAGCTACTATTTCAGAATCTATGTTTACACAACATAAATTAACATATTGTAGGGATAGCTAACCGAGAGAATACAGTAATATTTCATTTCTCAACGTTGACGTGTAAATTACATAACTATTTACCATGCTTATACCTACCGGCAATATTAAATTTCGCGTTCATCCTTTTTTTACCCTTTCAACTGACAGTAACTTTCAAATTTTTATTATTTTACCTTTCCTAATTAACTATCTCGTTCAGAAGCCCCAAAAAAGAGTAAAATGAGCACAGAAAATATGAAAGTTAAAAGTTTTTTTCACTAGACTTAAAATCAGTCGTCATTTTTTAGCTCAAATATATATACATATATATGTGAGTGATGATTAAACTTTAATGGTGAAGCACTGACCATATTGAGTGACTGCGCCAGTTTAAGCATCAAGCACTAAAGTCTTAAACTTTATCTTTGTGTAATCCTGGACAAAGAAAAATTATAAAACGTAAGACTTGATCACTTCCCCTACTCGAGTCTCGAGAGTT